AATATTTGTATATTATATATCGATATATATATATATATATATTTATATATTTATTTAATATGTATAATATGAAGTAAGAAGAAAGAAACTATATTAAGATCTTCATAATATACTTTATAAAAATAAAAGGTTGCAGCTATTCTTTTGCTGCAGCAGAGAGGGAGGCATAATCCCCGCAGCAGCAGCAGCAGCAGCAGCAGCAGCAGCAGATGACGAAGAGAGCAAACGTAACAGACAAAGGGTTTTACTTGTTTTACTTATATATTTACATATTTATTTGTTTGTTTGTTTATTTACTTATTTATTTAAATTATGTTTCAATCTATATTTCTTCTAATAAAGAATTAAATTGAAGATTTGCTGTAGGTGACCACAGAGCAGCAGCAGCAGCAGCAGCAGCAGCAGCAGCCGAGCAGCAGCAGCAGCAGCAGCAGCAGGGGACAGCACAGTTATAATTATTTTTTGTTTATTTTAGTTTGTATTTATTTATATTTTAATTTCGATGCGGAATAGAGCAACTCAGCGTATATACACGAGAAGAACAGCAGCAGCAGCAGCAGCAGCAGCTGAGGTGTATAGACACCGCAAGAGCGAATCTTCTTAGTAAAATTTATTTTCTTCTTTTCTCTTTATCCCTGAAATGCAATAGGAATACATCAAATATACACCAGAGCACAGCCTTCTGCTGCTGCTGCTGCTGCTGCTGCTGCTGCTGCTCGTGCTGCTGCTGCTGCTTCCCACATAGGTGTTAAGGAAAGCGTAGTTTGTCTGTCTTTTCGTTTGATAGTTTATTTATTTATTTATTTTATTTATTTGTTTGTTTACTCCTTATTTGCTTGTTCATTATTTATTTATTTATTTATTTATTTATTTATTTATTTATTCTTTTGTTTATTATAAAAATATATTTACAAACAAATGTCTCAGCAGCAAACAACGCGGGGCCTCTGAAACAAACAAAAACAAAAAAATAAAAATAAATAAAAATAAACAGCAGCAACAAATCCCCGCAAATAAACAGACAAATAAAACAAATAAACAAATAAACAAACAAAAAACAAATAAACAAATAAATAGGTATAAAATAAATAAATAAGCATCAGCAGCAGCTACACCCTTAAGTTGTCGACAGAGACAAATGAAGAGACAGCAGCAGCTGCTGCTGCTGCTGCAATACCGCAGAAAATCAATACAACAAAGGGCGAAATAAAAAAAAGAAAAAGAAGAAGAAAAAAGAAAGCAAAAGGAGACAGATAAAAGGAGACAGATAAAAGGAGACAGTTAAAAGGAGACAGATAAAAAGAGACAGATAAAAAGAGACAGTTAAAAGGAGACAGATAAAAGGAGACAGATAAAAAGAGACAGATAAAAAGAGACAGATAAAAGGAGACAGTTGAACAGGCGTGTAGCAAGATATTGTTTTTTTTATTTTTTTTTAGTTTTATTTTTGTGTCTCTTCTTTCTTTAATTATATTTTCTCCTTCTTCTTTTAAGCATGCAGCAAAAGAAGATAAGAGTTGCAGTTAGGAGACAGTTCTTTTGTTTGTTTTTACAAGGAGACAATGAAAAACCCTCGAGGAGACAGCAGGCCGAGCATCAAAGCTCTCAAAACCACACAAACAAAACAAAAAAATAAAAATAATATTCACATGCCTTCTTCGTTTAAACCTACAGAAACATACTACCTCGATGCAGCCACCAAGAGTACGACTAAAGCCCTAGGGTTTAGGGTTTAGGGTTTAGGGTTTAGGGTTTAGGGTTTAAGGGGTAGGATCTAGGACTAGGGTTTAGGGCTTGTAGCTTCGACTGAGTATCAACTAGGGTTTAGGGTTTAGGGTTTAGAGCTTACGATTTTGGGGTTGCAGTTTAAGTCTAGATCTAATCTAAGACGGGTCAGGAATTAGGGTTTAGGGTTTAGGGTTTAGGGTTTAGGGTTTAGGGTTTAGGGTTTGTGCGTGGCAGGTCGAGTTTGGTATTTGATGGGGGCCTTGAATCGAGGGTCTGCTCGCGGTTCTTCTGCTGCTGCTGCAGCAGCAGCAGCAGCAGCAGGAGGAGCAGCAGCAGGGAAGGTGTCTCCTTTGCTGCCTTCTGAAGTGTCTCCTTTTCTTTCTGCTGCACTGTCTCCTTCTCCTTCGTCTTTTTCGCCTGCTGCTGCAGCACTTGGGTCTCCGTTCCACCCTATGCTGTCTTTCTACTCTTCTTATCGTGTCTCCAGGCTGCAGCGCATGCAGCCCCAAACATTTAAACGCCCTCTCTCTACAGCAGCACAGCAGCAGCAGCAGCAGCAGCAGGGAATACCGCTACTGCCAGCTGCTGCTCCTCGGCTTCGGCCCAGCAACAGCAGCAGCAGCAACAGCAGCAGCAGCAGCAACAACAACAACAGCAGCAGCAGAAGAACTCAGCTGCATGTGCCGCCTATTGATTTAAATGTTTCAGGTGTTGCTGCTGTGATGCAGCAAAAAGAAAGACCCCAGCTGCGGAGACTCTCCCGCAGCAGCAGCAGCAGCAGCAGCAGCAGCAGCAGGGAGGTTGGTGCTGTAGAGGCCGTTAGATTAATCGCAACCCCTGCGGTAGCTGCTGATGCTTCTTCTTCTGATGCTGCAGCAGCAGCTGCTGCTGCTGCTGCTATTTTGTCTCCACATGCTGCCGCGAAAGCAGCAGCTGGAACGACTCGAGCAGCAGCAGCAGCAGCAGCAACACCAACGGCTACTGCTGCTGCCTCCCCACAATCAGCAGCAACAGCAGCAGCAGCATTTGCATCTAGCGGGCCGCCTGAACCTGGTGCTGCTTCTGCTTCTGCTTCTGCTGCTGTTGAACCTGCTGCTGCTGCTGCTGCTGCTGCTGCTGCTGCTGGTACGGAGCTGCCGCGTTTGCTGCTGCCTTCTGCTGAGTATGATTGCTTCAGCCCTTGGTGCTGCAGCACCTCTCGCTCTCCTTCTTCTTTTATCAATCCTTCTATTCAGGGGTTGCCTTGGAGATTTACTAATGAAGGGGCGCTGCTCACCCCTTTGCTGCTGCCTGCTGCTGCTGCTGCTGCTCCTGCTGCTGCTGCTGCTGCTGCTGCTGCTGCATGCGCTGCTTCAAATGAACACGCACAGGAGACAGAGTCGCCGCCGAGGTCCCTGCTGCCAGCAAAGAGAACTGCAGCAGCAGCAGCAGCAGGCGCAGCAACAGCAGGTACAGCAGCAGCAGCAGCAACAGGTGCAGCAGCAGCAGCAGCAGCAGCA